CCAGTTAGGACACCCATGTCCTACTTCACAGGGCCTGGATTTCACCCCTAGCTCCTGATTCCAGCTTCCTGCTAATGTAGACCCTAGAGAGGCAGCAGTTATGACTCAAGTACTTGCATTCCTGCCACTCATGTGGGAGACCTGGACTGAGTTCCTGGCTTTGGCTCCTTGCCATTGCTGGCATTTATTTGGAAAATAAACCAGCAGATGGGAGCTCTGAGTGTGTGTGTGTGTGTATATGTGTGTCTGCTTCTCCAATAAATAATTTAAAAAATATTTAGTGACAAATAAACTTACCTATAACCCCACTGGAAATCACTGTGAATATTTTGTGTATAACCTATCATGTTTACTATATGTATTTTTTCTTTTTTTTTTAAGATTTATTTTGTTTATTTGAAAGTCGGAGTTACAGAGAGAGGTAGAGACACAGAGAGAGGTCTTCCATACACTGGTTCACTCCCCAGATAGCCGCAACAGCCAGAGCTGCGCCAATCCGAAACAGGAGCCAGGAGCTTCTTCCAGGTCTCCCACGTGGGTGCAGGGGCCCAAGGACTTGAGCCATCTTCCACTGTTATCCCAAGCCATAGCAGAGAGCTGGATTAGAAGAGAAGCAGCAGGGACTAGAACTGGCGCCCATATGGGACGCTGGTGCTTTAGGTCAGGGCTTTAACCCGCTGTGCTATAGCGCCATCCCCAATATCTGTATTTTTTTCAACTTTTATTTAATAAATATAAATTTCCAAAGTACAACTTTTGGATTATAGAAGCTTTTCCTGTACTCACTTCGGCAGCACATTTACTAAAATTGGAACGATACAGAGAAGATTAGCATGGCCCCTGCTCAAGGATGACGCACAAATTCGTGAAGCGTTCCATATCTCTCTCTCACTGTCCACTCTGCCTGTCAAAAAAAAAAAAAAAAAAGAGAAGCTTTTCCTCCCATAACCTATCCCCCACCCACAACCATCCCATCTCCCACTCCCTCTCCCATCCCATTCTTCATCATGATTCATTTTCAATTGTCTTTATATACAGAAGATCAACTTAGTATGTACTAAGTAAAGATTTTTAACAGACTGAACCCACACAGACACACAAAGTATAGAGTACTGTTTGAGTAGTAGTTTTACCATTAATTCGCTTAGTACAACACATTAAGGACAGAGATCCTACATAGGGAATAGGTGCACAGTGACTCCCATTGTTGATTTAAGAATTGACACTCTTATTTATGATGTCAGTAATCACCCCAGGCTCTTGTCATGAGCTGCCAAGGCTATGGAAGCCCCTTGAGTTCACAAACTCTGATCTTATTTAGACAAGGCCATAGTCAAAGTGAAAGTACTCTCCTCCCTTCAGAGAAAGGTACCTCCTTCTTTGATGGCCCATTCTTTCTGCTGGGATCTCACTCACAGAGAATCTTTCATTTAGGTCATTTTTCTTGCCACAGTGTCTTGGCTTTCCATTCCTGAGAAACTCTCATGGGCTTTTTAGCCAGATCCAAATGCTTAAGGGCTGATTCTGAGGCCAGGGTGCTGTTCAGGACATCTGCCATTCTATGAGTCCGCTGTGTATCTCATTTCCCATGTTGGATCATTCTCTCCTTTTTAATTCTATCAGTTATTATTAGCAGACACTAGTCTTGTTTATGTGATCCCTTTGACAATCCTATCATTATGATCAATTATGAGATCACTTTGATTAGTAAGATAGCATTGGTACATGCCACCTTGATGAGACTGAATTGGAATCCCCTGGCACGTTTCTAGCTCTACCATTAAGTATAAGTCTGAGTGAGCATGTACCAAACTGTACATCTCCTCCCTCTCTTATTCCCACTCTTATAATTAACAGGGATCACTTTTTAGTTAATTTTAAATGCCTAAGAATAATTGTGTGTTAAGTAAAGAGTTCAACCAATGGTATTAAGTAGGACAAAAAATACTAAAAGGAACAAAGTAGTAAGTTGTTCCTCGACAGGACAAGAGCTGATGAAGTCATTGTTTCTCACAGTGTTCATTTCACTTCTATGGGCTTCCTTTTAGGTGCTCAGTTAGTTGTCACTGATCATGGAGAACATATGATATTTATCCCTTTGGGACTGGCTTATTTCACTCAGCATGATGTTTTCCAGATTCTTCCATTTTGTTGCAAATGACTGGACTTCATTTTTTTTTACTGCTGTATAGTATTCTATAGAGTACATAATATATGTATTTTTAAACATATATGTATTTTTTTTTATTTTTTTTGACAGGCAGAGTGGACAGTGAGAGAGAGAGACAGAGAGAAAGGTCTTCCTTTGCCGTTGGTTCACCCTCCAATGGCCGCCACGGCCGGCGCGCTGCAGCCGGCGCACCGCGCTGATCCGATGGCAGGAGCCAGGAGCCAGGTGCTTTTCCTGGTCTCCCATGGGGTGCAGGGCCCAAGCACTTGGGCCATCCTCCACTGCACTCCCTGGCCACAGCAGAGAGCTGGCCTGGAAGAGGGGCAACCGGGACAGAATCCGGCACCCCAACCGGGACTAGAACCCGGTGTGCCGGCGCCGCTAGGCGGAGGATTAGCCTAGTGAGCCGCGGCGCCGGCCCAAACATATATGTGTATTTTAAAAATTAGTACATCTATATCAGTTTAAATAATAAAATTGGGATCATGTAGCGCACGGAAGTACACAGCACTTTCCAGTTTGCTTATTTAACTATGTAAGAAAACTATTCATCTCCTGTATTATTCTTTTTTTAAGACTTTATTTATTTGAAAGTTAGAGTTACAGAGAGGCAGAGGCAGATTCATGCAGAGAGATATCTTGTAGCCACTGATTCACTTCCCAAATGGCTGCAACAGATGGAGTTGGGCTGATCCAAAGCCAGGAGATTCTTCCCAGTCTCCCATGTGGGTGCAGGGGTCCAAGGACTTGGGCCATCTTCTGTTGCTTTTCCAGGCCATAGCAGAGAGCTGGATTGAGAATGGAGCAGCTGGGACTCAAACCAGTGCCAGTATGGGATGCTGGTGTCGCAGGTGGTGGCTTTACCTGCTATGCCACAGCACCAACCCCTGTATTAATTCTTAGACTATATAACACACTACTTTATGTATGTATCCATCATGGGTTATATATCCATTTTCCTGTGGTTGGACATGTGGATAGTATTTTTAAATAATATAACTGAGGGGCTGCCATTGTTCAGTGGTTAAGCTGCTGCTTGCAAGGCCAGCATCCCATATGAGCACAATTCAAGATCCAACTGTCCCATTTCCAATCCAGCTCCCTCCTAATCTGCCTGAGAAATCAGCAAAGAATTATCCGAGTGCTTGGGCACCTGCCATCAACATGGGAGACCCAGATGAAGCTCCTGGCTTCAGCCTGGCCCAGGCCCTTCTACTGTGGTCATCTGGGGAGTGAACCAGCTGATAGTATATTACTTTCTCTGTCTCTCCTTCTCTCAGTAACTGCCTTTTCAAATAAATACGTATTTTAAAAAGATACATTGGCATCCCATATGGGCACCAGGTCTCCCACATGGGTGCAGGGGCCCAAGCACTTGGGCTATCTTCTACTGTTTTCCCAGGCCATAACAGAGAGCCAGATGGGAAGTGGAGCAGCCGAGTCTCGAACCGGCACCCATATGGGATGCCAGGACTTCAGGCCAGGGCATTAATCCACTGTGCCACAGCACTGGCCCCAGTTTGCTCTTCTGATTAATGGGTACTTGAAAATTCTGTGTAGCTTCATGGGTCATTTGTATTTTTTTCCTCTGTGAACTGATTTCACATCCATTGCCTATCTTTTTCGTTACAGTATGCATCTGTTTTTAAATACTTCGTAAAAGCATTATTGCAAAACAATTCAAATTCATGTCTGACATTATATTTTGACTTCATTTTTTTTCTATCACTGAAAATCTTTCTCCAAATAGTGGCTTCATTGGGTGTGTTGATGGTGGGTACTAGTGTCCTTGGCGGCTGGGACTTTGCAAGTTTTTGTAATTATTCCCACCTGTCAATAGCCTGATCTATTCCTTGATGACTGTAGAACCTCCTCACTGTTCTCCCAGGTGCCAGGTCCCCCTCGAAGTCCATCGTCCCCCACACCACTATGGTTACTCCACTAAAGAAGAGCAAGTGGACTGAAAACCTTTGCTGGGCTCTCAGTCACAGCTTTCAGGACAGGACGCTCAGTGCTCCGCTCCTTCTCCTCCCTCAACAACGGGGCGTGGGGGGGGGGGTGCTCCTGCCCCAGGGCAGGCTCCGAGTTACCTGCAGGCAGGGTGCTGCTGAGGTCTGAGGCCCTGGCTCACCTGCCTCTCAGGGTCGGGTCAGGGGGATGCTTTCCCGGTCACCACGTTCCCCCTCCCTCTGCTGCAATGAAAACAATTGAACCCAAGCAGTGGGAGGTTGCTGCCCGCGTTGAGAAGCATGGGTGAAGCTGCAGCCTGCGATGATGCCAACCCAATATGAACCCCAGTTCAAGGCCCTGCTGCTCGGCTTCCTACCCAGCTCCCTACTAATGCACCTGGGAAAGCAGTGTAATACGGACTGAGTGCTTGGGCCCTTGCACCCTCGCGGGAGACCAGGATGGTGCCATTTGGGAGTGAACCAGCAGATGGAAGATTCCTCTCTTGCTCTATAATTCTGCCTTTCAAATACATATTTTTTCCAAAGTGGGGGCAGATAGTAAAAAGGTCTTTGGAAGAGGACACGTTTGGAGTCCAACTCTTGTTGCCTTGGGAAGTAACTTAGTTTCTCGGGGCCTACTGTCCCCATCTGTACAATGGGAATTCTAAGCGCTAACACCTGCACCCCGTCCTCTCCAGTGTCGGAGAGCACGGTTAAGAGCTCCCGGCGGGCAGGGTCACAGCTCATTCTGTCCAGTATAGCCCCAGCCAGACATGGGCGGCCCAAGGCGCTGCTGATTAAATAAAGATCACACTAATTTTCTGGTGCGCAGCCGAGAGGATGTAGCTGGCGCGGCGCCTCCACCGCGCTGTGGGCTCCCGGGCGTCCCCGCTGGGCCGCCCCGGACTCCTCCCGCGGCGACCCGGAGCCCGGCGGGTGGAAGACGCGACGAGGCCCCTCCCCGCCCGCTGCCCGCCGCCGTCCAGCTCTCCTTCGGGCCGAGCGGGACCCGAGCCCGGCGGGCGAGCCAGCCCCGGACATCCGTCTCCACCTATCCGCGACGCCTCCGGTCCAGCCCGGCGCCGCGGCGCGGAGCGCACCTGACCCCGGCGGGCGGGGCGCCGGGGCGGGGCGGCGGGGCTGACGTGGCCCGCGGCATGGAGCCGGCGTGATTCATCAGCGGCCGCGCCGGGGCGGCATGGGGGCGAGCGCGGTGGCCGCCTGAGCACCCAGGGCCAGGCAGTGGCGGCGTCCCCGACCCGATTCGCGCGCGCCCCGCGGCTGTCCGCGGCCGGGCCCCCTGGGAGGTCAAGATGGAAGAGATCCTGAGGAAGCTGCAGAAGGAGGCGTCCGGGAGCAAGTACAAAGCCATCAAGGAGAGCTGCACCTGGGCCCTGGGTAAGCGCGCCGAGCCGGGAGCCGTAGCGGGCGCCGGGCACCTGCTCGCCGCCGCGGAAGGGCCGCGCGGGCCGGGGCTGGAGCGAGCCCTGTGCGCGGTGGGTGCACTCGCTAAGCCTCGGAGAAGCATGCATTTCGAGCGATTTCGAGAGTTGCCTCGGTGGATTGATGTGGGACACGACGATCTTGGCTCGGGCGTGGGCGTGCAGCCGCTCCTCCTCGGGTCCCTTTATTTTCTCCCAAACCTAGCCTGGACCGTGGTCCCCATCGCCGAGTTAGGCAGGACCTCCATCCGCTGGAGACCCGGGGCCTGACGCCCGAAGCCTGCGGTGGTGAGCGGAACCAGGAAGGCAGGGCTTGCTTAATTTGATTTTCCTGATACAGGCCGGCTTGCTAAGTATCAGTTTTCATGGGGATCGCCCATGGAAAATAACACCCGGCCGGGATTGTGTGACCACAGCGATGCTGTTGCGGCGTGCCCTTCAGACAGGTGGGGTTTCCGATGGGTGAGCTAGGCTAGCATGGAAATAAGTTCCAGGTGGCAAATTTGTGGCAAATTTGCAGAACTCCTTGGGGGGGGGGGGTAGGAGTAAGAAACACGGTTCAATTAAGCTCAAATTTGGGCAATCGAATGGTCGGTCGCGGTGGAAATGCAGAGAGATCCGGATCCTGCTTAAGGTGCTAGCGATGCTTTTGCCAAAGGAAAGGCCGGGCTGGAAGCAGGCAGCTCTGTGGGTCCCTGGCCTTGCCAAGCCAGCGCGAGATTCCTCAGTTACCACTCCATTAAAAAAAATTAGAACCCCTTTCCCTGGAAAGGGAGAAACAGCCAGCGCTTGTCGTGATAGGAGAGCCTGAAGTGCCACCAGCTGTTTTTCCCGTGAAACGTAGAATTCTGATGGGGTTTGGAGTGACTCAATATTTAGAAGATCTTAATTCTCATGTTTGGGTGTATGTATGGACAATCGTCTCGTCTTTTTTTTTAAGCTGTGCATATCATCGTAAAGCTCTTTAGAATATAGTCTAGGAAGTTTATCTTGTAGGTGGAAGCACTTGACCATTTTAGTCTAGCAATTAAAGAAAAAACAGCATTTATCTGACAGAGCAGCAAAGCTCTTAAAGCCACAGTACTGTTTTTTGCTTTGCCATTGTCATTCAGCAACATGATTCTGAGCTAGATTCCCAAATGCCTCTAATAGGGGTCACAGATGGCTGGGTAACATAATAACGCAGGGCCCAACTGTGCAGCAAACATGCCTCTCCTCGTATTCATTATGATTTTGCTGTAAATTCGGCAGATGTAGATAAACAGGGAGGAGGAGAGGCATCGGGTGTTTTTAATGAGTTTGGGATTTGATGTTCAACATCTTGTTTAGTTAAACTACAAGGTTGCTGAGTGTAGGTCCTTGAAGCGACTAGGGAAGCCCAGTGCAGATGCAGGTGGATTTCCCGAGTGACACCTGCAGTCCAGCCGGGTAGCCCAAGGGGACAGAGTGCCTTCCCCAGCAATTGCTCTATAATGGGCACGAGGAAGCATACGTGCATGACAGAGTTAAATGATAGTGCATGTCATTTGTGACATGGGTTAGAATGAGCAAACCAGGAAAACAGGGGGAAGAAGGGGAAATGAACTTGGGGTGGGGGAGGCAGTTGGGGTGACCTGGAGGAGCTTTGAACGTCGAGCTTGCCTTAAGAATGGTCAGGGCCATCTTGGCTTATTTATTCCTCAGCATGTATTAGGCCCTCCCCTGCCCTGAGCTGGGATACAAGGATGAATGAAATGCTTGTGGGAGAAGTTTGTTAGAAGGGCATATTGGAGGGAGACTGTAGCATGAACCCAAGCATGAAGATGTGGTCTTTCCCCTGCAGTCCATTCTCCATGCCGCATCAATATTTTATTCTAAAGGACTCATCATGCCTCACTCCCATGATTTCTTTACAGACTTGCCTTGTAAATTCCTTAGAATGCATTTCAGAATCTGGCCTCGACCTCCTCTTCCTCACTGCCCTACCTGGAGCTCACCAACCTGGTGACAGTTCGCTGCCACACTTTTTTGAGCACGCTGTGCACAGCATATTTCTCTGCCTTTGCTCATGCAGAGGTCCTTCTGCCAGGAATCCCCTGCCCAAACTCCAAGAGGCCCCATACGTGGAGGAAGAACCCCTGAGAGCCTCAGAGTCTGTGACCTTCCTGGGTTCACAGCTTTGCCCCGGTAACTCTCTCGGAATACCTGCTACTTGGGGTTGGAATTGCTTATGAGAGAGTAACTTAGGGGCAAGATAATCGAGAAATCTGTTGAATTCAACAGATTAATTAAAACCTTGTTTGAGGCTGGGGTTGTGGTGTAGCAGGTAGGTTCTCCACCTGCGATGCTAGTATCCCATATGGGTACCAGTTCAAGACCCAGCTGCTCCACTTCCAATCCAGCTCCCTGCTAATGGCCTGGGAAAAGTAGCAGAAGATGGCTCAAGTGTTGAGCCCCCTGTCATGCATGTTGGAGACACCAATAAATTTCCTGGCTCCAGGCTTAAGCCTGGCCCAGTGCTGGCTGCTGCAACCATCCAGAGAGAGATCCAGAAAATGGAACATCTCCTCCCCCCCCCTCTAACTTTCAAGATAAATAAATATTTTTTTAAATCAATATAAGCTTAGACAGGGCATAGTTATTTTTTTCCTGCATTAATAGAATATCCCCAACAAGAATAGTATGAGTACAGTTCTTTTTTTAAATGATCTATTTATTTATTTGAGGGGCAGAGTTACATATAGAGAGAGCAAGAGACAGAGAGGTCTTCCACTTACTAGTTCACTCCCTTAATGGCCGCAATGGCCGGAGCTGTGCTGATCTAAAACCAGGAGCCAGGAGCTTCTTCCAGATCTCTGCATGGGTGCAGGGGCCCAAGCCCTTGGGCCGTGTTCTACTGCTTTCCTAGGCCATCAGCAGAGAGCTGGATTGGAAGAGAAGCAGCTGGGACTTGAACTGATGCCCATAGGGGATGCTGGCATCACAGGTGGAGGCTTGACCTATTACACCATGGTGCCAGCCCCCATGGGTACAGTTTGACTCAGGAATTACATTCGGTTTTGAGGACCTTGTCTGCTGTTTGAGGGCTGACTGCCATGCTCTTCCTGGATCTTCATGATTGGGCACATGAGTCACCACACTTGCATCACACTTGGGAGAGAGAGGGCCATCTGCCCCTTAGGTCATCATGGGAGAAGGGGCGTCTCCTCCAGGTTTAGATCATCTCAAGAGAGCAGACCCCTACCAGTCACTCCTGCACTTTCCTTGGCTGTATGTATTCTTTCCTGCCCCACAGGCTCATGTAAACAACCACGAACCAGTCCTCGACCATGGACTGGAATGGGCTAAGTGTGTTCAGCCTAGGCCGTGAGTGCCACAGGAATCCAGTGAGGGAAAGTTGGTTCCTCAAAGCAAAATTAGAGTGCTGATTCAGAAAGAAGGACGGTGGATGCCTGTCAATCAAAATAATGGATGTCAGCAATGTGATGGACTCCTTGAGTCCGGGCACTGTTGGTACTTCTTGGGGGCTTCTGTACCTACAGTTTAAGAAAGGGTTGTTAAGAAATTGCTAAGGAAACTGGGCTTCAAATGATAGTCACCTTTTTTTTTTAACTTATGAGAATTATATTCATCAATGTTCAATTTAAAACCCCAACAAATATTAGATCAGCGTCAAGATAACACAAGGATCAACTGTAGTCTCCCTTCTCAGGGATAACACCGTTGACATTTTGGCACCACACCCTTTTACAGAGCACCATATACCACATGTGGCGTATTGTCGCTTTCTTGTTGTTTTTATAAGATTTATTTATTCATTTGAGAGGCAGAAGTACAGAGGGAGGAAGAGACAGAGGTCTTCCATCCACTGGTTATCTCCCCAAATGGCCGCAATGGCTGGAGCTTGGCCAATCTGAAGCCAGGAACCAGGAGTTTCTACCAGGTTTCCCACGTGGGTGCAGGGGCCCAAGGACTTGGGCCATGTTCCACTCCCTTCCTAGGTACACTAGCGGGGAGCTGGATTGGAAGAGGAGCAGCCAGGACACTAAACAGCGCCCACATGGGATGCTGGCACCCCAGGCAGAGGCTTAACCTTTAACACCACAGTGCCAGACCCCATCACTTGTTTTAAATCTTAATATTTTCTTCTATATTTTCATTTTTGTCTTTAAGGTATTTTCAACTTTAGCATTTTTTCTTCTTTTTTAAAGATTTATTTATTTGATAGGTAGAGTCACAGAGAGAGAGAGAAAGAGAGGTCTTTCATCTGCTGGTTCACTACCCAATTGGCTGCAACAACTGGAGCTGGGCTTATCCGAAGCCAGGAGCCGGGAGCTTCTTCTGGGTCTCTGACACAGGTGCAGGGACCCAAGGACTTGGGCCATCCTCCACTGCTTTCCTAGGCCATAGCAGAGAGCTGGATTGGATATAGAGCATCTGGGAGAGGAACCGGCACCCATATAGGATGGTGGCACTGCAGGCAGCAGCTTTACCCGCTATGCCACAGCCCCGGCCCCAGCATTTTCTTCTACTTTATCATCACACCTCCCTGAAAATCAGTGTTCCTAGTGGTGTGTGTGTGTGTGTGTGTGTGTGTGTACCTTCTGTCTCTCTGGTGCTGTCTGAGGAGTAGAAATGGCTGAGTGGCCTGGGGGTAACTCGGGAGGGCTGGAAGAGCAGTGTTCGTCTTCAGGAACTGGTGTTCCTGGAGGTCTGGGAGCTGGGACGTGGCAGGATGAAGCAGAATGGCAGAATGGTAGAGCTGGAAGGGACCCTGCTCTCATTTTAGCAAGTTCTTTCAGGGGACTAATGTAGAGCGAATCTGGAAAATAAAGGGAGAGGAAATTAGAGGCAGAATCACCAAATAAGGGAGGAAGGATCATCTGTCCAGCCGCTGCCCTTCTCTGCCCGCCTGTGCTTTTCCTCCTGGCTGTGGTTTTAGTACCTTCCCAGACAGACTACTTCTTTTTAAAATTTTTTTAGAAAGCTTTATTTACTTAATAAATACAAATTTCATAGGTACAGCTTTTGAATTATAGTTGTTCTTTCCCCCATACCTGCCCTCCCACCCCCAAACCGTCCCAACTTCTACTCCCTCTCCCATCCCATTCTTCATTAAGATTAATTTTTAATTATCTTTATATACAGAATACCAACTCTATACTAAGTAAAGATTTCAACAGTTTGCACCCACACAGACACACAAAGTATAAAGTACTGTTTGAGGACAAGTTTTACTGTTAATTCTCTTAGTACAACTCATTAAGGACAGAGGTCCTACACGGGGAGCAAGTGTACAGTGACTCCTGTTGTTGATTTAACAATTGACACTCTTATTCATGACATCAGTGATCACCCGAGGCTCTTGACATAAGCTGCCAACGCTATGGAAGCCTCTTGAGTTCACAAACTCTGTCAGTATTTAAACAGGGCCATAAGCAAAGTGGAAGTCCAGCCAGACTTCTTGAAATATCTAGGGATTGTGTCCATGTCCTCATTTTCTACTCTTCCTCTCACTCCAGCCTGCCTCTCACCTCCATGTACGATGGTGAACACTGCTGGGTGCCCGCTTGGCTTTCCTCTGTGGCCACCCTTTCTGGATGTGACTGTGGCTCTTGAGCTGCTCTGTCTCCATGGGAGCTGACCACACCCTCAGTTTCAGCGCAGTTTCTGAGTCTATGATGCCCTTGTTCACATCACTAGTCCACATCTGTGCTGACGTCTAAACCACAGCTCAGCATCTCTGCTCGAATGGCCCAGAGGCACTTAAACTCAGCAAGTGACCAAGTATTCTTCCCCACCCCACCACACTCACAAACCTCATTCACCTCTGGAGCTTCCAGTCCATCAGCTGATGCTGTTACCTGCCTGGGTGCATCAACCTGACACGCAGAGTCATCCTCAATACATTTCTGGACTTTGCCATTATTTTTATACCTTGTCCATCACCCACGGGCTGCTTATTTTTGCCCCCTAACTAGGTCTCAGGCCTGTCTAGGTCTCTCTGCTTCTGTGCCAGTTACCTCCTTTTCTTATCTGGACTTCTGCAACAGCTTCCTATTATTTTTTTTTCTTTTGGTCTGGTCTTTAAAAACTATTTTTCAAGCAATGCCACCTTGGAAGCCCATTCTGATCAGTACCTCTGCATTCAGACACGGGCATCCCATCAGGGTGAAGACCAAAATCCTTACTGGCTTTGGTCAAGCCCTGCATGGCCTTACTCCTGTCCACCTCACAGCCTTGTCCTGCACCTGCCTCCCCATAGCTCTCTGAATTCCAGCCATACTGACCTTTCATGAACTCATGTATACTGTACTCTTATTTTTCATAAGTAACCAAATATTTGGTGAGCACCTACTATGTGCCAGGTTCCATTCCATGCACTGGGATACCAATAGTGAGCAAAACAGGCATGAAGTCCCTATCCTGCCTTCATGGATCCACTTGCAGCTAATAATCAAGATGAATAAAGTACACATGACAGCTCATAGTGCTATGAGCTGAAGGAAAACAGAAAGCAGCCAAGGGAGATAGCCTGGAGGGAAGGGGGGTTGTATTTTAAATAGGGTGGACAGGGAAAGCCTTACAGAAAGGAGGTTCTGAGGCAGGGAAGTATCCAAATCTATGGACTTGGCTTTTGCTTACAATGAGAGAGAGTGGAGTGGGGAAAAGAAGAGCTGGGACTTGGGTCTTCAGAGGATCTCTCAAGCTACTGTGATGAGAAGACCGTGCAGCTGCAGGGGGCTAGACCTGAAAGCAGGAAGCCCTGGCGGAGGCCACTGGAGTCATCCAGGGAGCAAAGATGGAGGCTGGGACCAGAGGGACTGTGTGGAGCAGAGGAGGGTGGATTTTATTTTGAAGTCTTGATGTGCTTGGAACTTGGCACGCCCCCTCCTTGCCCAATTTACACAGCCCATTTTCAGTCTCATCGCCCCCTGCGGGAAGCCCTGACCACCACAGTCCACAGTGGGATCTGTTGTATTTTGGCTTCATTTCCTGAGTTTTCCTTCTTGGTATTCATCGAGTTTGAAACAAGAACGCACACTCCGTGAATTCCCCGGCTGCGACTGTCCTCGGCATTGGGTCCCTAGCTCCGCGCGTGGTCCAGTGAGTCAAGGAAGGGAGACAGGAACTGGCAGTCCGGGGACTGATTCAGGCTGTTAATGGTCCTTTTTTCATTGGCTCCTGGCAGGAATTCCATGAGGTGGGTGTTCGAGGCCTGTTTTGGGAGATGAGAGAACTGAAGCTTAGAGGAGGGAAACGCTTTGTCCCTACCTCACAGTATCACAGCTGGCAGGGAGCCAGAAACAGAACGTGGTTCTCGTTGCTTTCTTTCTCTGTTGGTTCCTCCACGGGTCTCTCTCCCCGGGTTATTGTTGGGTCCTGCAGGCTGACAGTCAAGCTGCAGCCGTCCCCTCCTTGAGCTCTAGGCCCTCTTTGCCTTTGGTTCCATGCTTATCATTGCAAGTCTAGGGGAGGGCTCTCCTGTGCTGCACTCAGTGAGACTGCTTGGAGTCATTGTGGCTTCTACACAGCTGCCCTTTGTTCTACCTCGGTGTTAAGCGTTTGTACAACTGGGCCCTGTTACACATCCTGAGTTGGATATAAAACCCCTCTGCCCAGTGAGGAAAGCCGTGTTGATTTTATTGTTCAGTCTTACTACCTCTCTTGGGCAAGCAGCATCACATTGTCCTGGGTGCTGGCCTTGGAGCTGCTCCCTGGCCTTGCATCTCAAGGCTTCATTTATTTCTCATTCTCTCACCCTCAGCCCTGACCTCAGGCCTCCCACCTCCTCCCCTGGCCTCATTGTAAGCACCACCAACCCCGCTGAGCTCATCTTTCTGTCTGCTCATTGCTTTCCTCCAGTCCTCTGTTTTGGCCCTTTGGTCACAACAGGCTGATCCTATCATGCTTTGGTCCATTAGGCCTGGGACTCAGGGGTATGTTTAGGATCTGTTGTTCTCTCAGAACTCTTAGCAAGATGAGAAGAAATGTTTCACCTTATCCAGGCAAAGTAGTTCAAATTGACAAAGCTTTTGAGTCTAAGGAGTTAAGAGAGGAGCCAACACAATTTGACCTGAAAAATGGGATGCAAGTAGGAGTGATTGAAATAGAACGGTGTTTTGGGAAGAGAATAGTGAATTTATGTGAGTAATCCACAAACAATGGTAAAGTACTGAATATCCAGGTTGGATTAATGAGATTTGGGCTGAGCCTTCCAATCAGTATCGTTAACTACAACATGATTTTACAAAAGTTTAACCTACCGTGTTATAAACATGTGAGTGAGAATAAGATGTTGCATAAGGTATCTTGTGAACTTGAAAGTCTTCCACAAGCATGAGTTATTGTTTAAGGATATTGAAATGGCTATTTTCAGGGGACCAGCTTTCGTTTCTCTATTTTTATTGCAAGAATATACTATCTTAGCCAGTTATAACTAAATTTAATTAGCATTCTGGTTCTGGTTAGGAATTTAACTATTCATTCTTTGTCTCTGTAGGGAAATGTGTCCTAGTTTTCAATCTTTCCTTCTCTGATAGTGAGGCAAAGTCTGGGGAAGTCTCCAGGGTATCAGAGCAGAGGGATCTTAAAATATGGATGAGTTGTGTGCATACCATTGAGAATTGACTCATTTATAATTATAGGAATTCCCAGAGGAAAAAACTAACAGTGAAAACCGTGTACAGTATGGATTCTCAGTCTTTATCTATTTTTAACTTCTTTTTTTTCCCCTTTGCAGAAACTCTGGGTGGTCTGGATACTATTGTCAAGATCCCTCCCCATTTGCTGAGGTAAGAGATGGAAACCATGTTATATAGCCCAGGTAAACATTGCCCAAAGGTCACCCGGAAGGCCCAGCTAACTCTGCTGGTTTACAGCATTTTACCTGTTGCTGGTTTACAGCATTTTACCTGTTGCCTGTTTATCTATTTTTTTAACCTGTATGAACTGGGATTATTTCATGAGATTAGCGTGATGGGGACCTGATTGGTTGATCACCCACTGTCAGTGGAATGCGTGAAGTCTGTAACCCTAAGTAACTAACCAGGATATTCAATGGTGAAAAGTATCAAGTTGGTTAAGGAGAGAGATGATCAGGACTTCAGTGAGGTAATGATCAACAGGAGTGTCTTCCCCTGCTGATTAGAAAACAGCACCCCTGCTGGCAGGAAGCAGCCCTACATGGGGTGGGGTAGCTTTCAGCTCTGTTAACCTATTGAATAGCTGAGATGCCAGGAGGCTGGTCCTGCTCCCACAGCAGCTCTGAGAACTGAGCCCCTTTCTCCACTTTCCTCACCTCTTCCTAAGCCTGTTTTCCCTCTGATTGTGAGAGAAACGCACGTCCTTTGTGGAAAATTTGGAAAGAACAAGAACAAAGGAGAAATTTGTCACAATTACAAGACAAAGCATAAAGCATTGACAGCCACTTAAGGATAGCCACTGGAAACAGTTGGTTAGATTTTAACAGTCTGTTTCTACTCACTTGTGTTTTTACAAGTTAATATGAAATTTCTTTACAATTTTATCTCTTGTTTTTTTTTTTTTTTTACTATACACCATAATAAAGAACACTTGGTAATGCCAATATATGTTCTTCAAATGAAAACACTGCATTTTCCATTATACAAGGGTACTTTAAAAAGTTAGTAGAAAAAGGAAAGAAAAGATAAATTTATTTTGGTACGAATATTTTTTGAAATCCTTTATGCATAGTGTGCAATTTTTCCAGGTACTTTTTGAAGACTGCTCGTATGACTACTACATAATTTATTTAAATGTTTTTCTATTATTGAACATTTGGACTGTTTCCAGGGTTCTCCTTGAGATTATAAAAACTATTGAACATAGTCTGGTTTCTGTATTGTCAGAACACTGTGATTTATGAGGCATCTTCTCTTCAAATAGACTGAACAAGAGTTATGTTTCTGCCTTTTTAAAAGATTCATTACTTCTCCTATAGCATCTGCTACAAACTCACATATTAGAAAGGAATTCATGTGTTAATCCAACTGAATGCATCTTTATTTGTATAAAGCTTGTAAAGGAATGGAATAGCAACAACATATTTCCCTCAAGGAGGGTTCTCCAGGAATAGGAAGATTTTTCAGAGAGCTATGAAAGAATGGGTGGGAAGTCAATTTCCCTGACCCCAACTTTTAAGAGTACCCTTCTTAAACAAAGATTGACTGCAAAACTGATGTTGCGACGTCTCCTTCACCATCCATATTTTACCATCAATTTTTTCCTTGACAGAGGATAAGTATGATTGTTATCCATCCTGAATCTTTGTGATGTGTGTTTTTCTGGAGTATGAAAATGTCATCCCACAGCCACAGGTCTATAAAAATATTAGTAACCTGTTGAAGTGAAATGGACACTATGAGAAACAGTGACTTGATCAGCCCTTGTCCTGACTGTTGATGTACAATTTAATACTTTATCCCTTTTAGTATTTTTTTTTCTAGTACTATTGGTTGAACTCTGTAATTGACACACAATTATTCTTAGGGGTTGAATTTAATTGAAAAGTGATCCCTGTTAAATGTAAGAATGGGAATAAGAGAGGGAGGAGATATACAATTTGGGACATGCTCAAGCTAACTTGCCCCAAATGGTGGAGTTAGAAACGTGCCAGGGTGTCGCTCCCCGTCTTCGTGGAGGAACGACACAGGACCCTGCGCTGTTCTTTCGTCTGCTCGGCCCTCCCCGGGTTTGCTGCTGGTTCTTCCCGGGTTGGCTACTATCCCTTCCACCTCCGTGGAAGGGCAGTTCCCCCTGGCCACATTCCCCACTTCCGCAGGGGAGCAGCACACCGCCGGCCGGCTTTCTCGGGGGCTGCACAGGCGTTCCCCTAGATGTTCCCCTTAGATGTTCCTGGTGCATGCCGTCTCTCTCCTCCTTTATAGTCCTCCTCCGCCAATCCTAACTCGGCTGCCCACACGCCGAGTACGCTGCTCTCCAATCAGGAGCAAGTCCTACAGTTTATTGGTTGAACTGGAGGCAGCTGTGCGGAAGCTGTTTACTTCTCTTCTCAGCGCCATATTGTGGGAGAGCAGATGCATAGAATAAGTCTTAATTCCAGTAACTCAGTCTAGTCCGGATTGCTCCCCACACCAGGGGATTCCAATACAATCCCATCAAGGTTGTATGTACCAATGCCATCTCACTAGTCCAAGTGATCAATTTCAGTTCACAATTGATCACACTGATAGGTCTAAGAGTCAAAGGGATCACACAAACAAGACTAGTGTCTGCAAATACTAGCTGATAGAATCAAAAAGGGAGAGAACGATCCAACATGGGAAGCGGGATACACAGTAGACTCATAGAATGGCAGATGTCCTAAATAGCACTCTGGCCTCAGAATCAGCCCTTAACGCATTCGGATATGGCTGAAGAGCCCATGAGAGTATTTTAGGCATGGAAAGCCAAGACACTCTGGCAAAACAAAACAAAACAAAACAAAACAAAACAACAAACCCTAAATGAAAGATCTCTGTGAGTGAGATCCCAGTGGAAAGAATGGGGCCATCAAAGAAGGAGGTACCTTTCTTTGAAGGGAGGAGAGAACTTCCACTTTGACTATGACCCTGTCTAAATAAGATTGAAGTTGGCGAACTCAAAAGGCTTCCATAGTCTTGGCAACTCATGACTAGAGCCTAGGGAGATTACTGACACCATAAACAGGAGTGTCAAGTTGTTAAGTCAACAACAGGAGTCACTGTGTACTTACTCCTCATGTGGGATCTCTGTCCTTAATGTGTTGTCCAATGTGAAGTAGTGCTGTAACTAGTACTGAAACACTTTGTGTTTCTGTGTGGGTGCAAACTGATGAAATCTTTACTTAATATATACTAAATCTATCTTCTGTATATAAAGATAATTGAAAATGAATCTTAATGTGAATGGAATGGGAGAGGCATGGGAGATGGGAGGGGTGCATGTGGGAGGGAAGTTATGGGGGGGGCATTGTAACCCATAAACTGTACTTTGGAAATTTATATTTACTAAATAAATGTTAAAAAAATTTTCAAAAAAAATAGTAGTATCTGTGTTGGGAAAGTGAATGGTTGGAAGAACCTGGAAACACATCTTTTTGGAAGTTAGGTAGTTTTGAGTTCTTGGCTTTCAGGAACATTAAAGGAGGACCTGATCTAGATATAAGATGATGGACAAAAAGATTTTTTAAAGATAAGTTCCTTCCTTTGTAAATAAGGTTTCTTACTGCTTACATCTATAAAAAGGAAAGAGAAAAGGTATGAAATTAGTTCTTAACCTTGCTTTACTATAGCAATAGGTAGTCTTCATTTATAAACATACAAACTAATTGAAGGAAAGATAAAAGCCCTATCTATTTCTTTGGAAATGAATTCCTGATAAAATTGTATTTTCCCTGTTAACTACAATAACATTCTGATAATTATTAATGTTCTTTGAATAAATTATGTACATTAGTAATGATAGCTCACAATTAAAATCAAACACTTTGTCTATGGTCACAGAAAAAATTTTTTAAATTGCTTTATGTATTACTTTGTTATAAAGAAGTATAATAGGGAGATTAATAAAAGCCTTTCAAGCATAAAGCATTGAAAGAAAATTCTTTTAGTGGAATGGACATATGAGTTCATGAAGAAAAACTCTCCTGTTAAAGGAGAGTTTGTTCATGTATTTTTTTTTTTGATGGATGAAGATGTTATAAATTGCTGTGGTATTTAGGTTTTGGGAGTTCCATTTAAAGAGTGATATGTTTTAATTAAAAATTCTAATAATTCCAATGTGCCAGAATTACAGCTATTGCAGTTAATTAAAATTATGATGAAAAAAATTAAATGTCAACTTGATATGTGCAAAAGCAGAATTCTAGAATTTTCTTAGTGGCTTAATGAGCAAAAAAATATATCCTTGCACCTGTTCTTAAAGGTTGCTTCCTTGTTTATAGAGTGCTGTTTAATGTGATGGTTTAGTCCGAGCTTTCTGTGGCTCTGGGTTTGTGATGAGAGGGGCAAAGGGATAATGATGTCAGAAGTTCCTGGCCCCACTGGTTGGGAATGTTTGTCACAAGGCATCTGGTAGTTTCCAACTCATGGTGTGTAGGGGGTGGGGGTAGCCGTTGAGTTAGAGAAGAAACAGTTGTAATGGGCCCAAAGTCTTCCTTTTAGCCATTTATCTGCACTTTGTTCATTGGTCTTCAGCCTTACCCTAGAGCCCACTAGCCATCTTGTATGCCCACAAGAGATTATCACAAAATTGGTGGGAGGGCTGCTGAATGAGGGGCAGCGGATAAATATATGAACAGGGTCTTTGCATATCTTCCCCATGATTGGAAACAAAATCCCGAGCATTTACCTTTATGATAAAGAGCTACTGATGACATCATCCTTATCCACAAAATGATGTGCATGATTGTAGTTCAGGTGCACAATGAGAGCTACCAGGCATTCATATACAAAGGAATGAACCTTATGATTGAGACAAAGCAGATGTGGATCTTGTACTCAGAGTTTTTTTTTATTTTAATTTTTAAAAATACTTATTTGTTTGCAAGGCAGAGTGACAGGGAGAGAGGGAGAGACACAAAGAGATATTCCATCCACTGGTTCACTGCCTTATGGCCGCAGTAGCCAGGTCTGGGCAAGGCCAACGCCAGGAGCCAGGAACTCCATCCAAGTCTCCCATGTGGATGGCAGGAGCCCAGGTACTTGGCGCATCCTCTGCTGCCTTCCCAGGTACATTAGCACGGAGCTGGATCAGAAGTGGAGTAGCAGGGAACTGAACCGGTGCTCCGATA